CATAATATATATAACATAATACAGAATATATCATAATATATAACATAATATATAACAATATATTAATAATTATATAATGTTATGTATTAATTTTTTTTTTTTTTTTTGAGATGGAGTCTTGCTCTGTCGCCCAGGCTGGAGTGCAGTGGCCGGATCTCAGCTCACTGCAAGCTCCGCCTCCCGGGTTCAAGCCATTCTCCTGCCTCAGCCTCCCGAGTAGCTGGGACTACAGGCGCCCGCCACCTCGCCCGGCTAGTTTTTTTGTATTTTTTTAGTAGAGACGCGGTTTCACCGTGTTAGCCAGAATGGTCTTGATCTCCTGACCTCGTGATCCTCCCATCTCGGCCTCCCAAAGTGCTGGGATTACAGGCGTGAGCCACCGTGCCCAGCTCATGTATTAATATTATATATAAATGTAAATATGTAATATATAAATAATAAACATTATTTATATATAATAATATTAAATATATAATAATAATATATAAAATAACATAATATAGAACATAATATATTATATATAAAACATAACAATTGTCATATAAACCTATCATCTTTAAAAATGTGTTGGCTTCTTAGATTTTCCAAAAGATATGGGGTTTCCAAAAGATACATATTTTGGAAAATGTGCAAAGGAAGAGGAACTGCTTCCCTTCACTAAGTATGCTCTGCTTCTCTAAGTATGTCTATTAAAATGTTCAGGAAAAAATCCGAGAGTTTGAGATGCAAGGCATTTAAGTTGCCAGTGAGCTCCCAGAAAACAAGCTTAGTGAAAGTCTTCCCAGAGGTGATCACATGTGGCAAATCCTTCACTTTAGACATTATGTAATTTAACCACCAGATGCTGTCTATCCTACCTTCCAATCCATTCCAAAGGCTCATATGTTGCTTAATACCTTTTGTGAGTCTTTTCAGAGTATGCAAGTATAGCACAGGCATGGTGGCTCACACCTGTAATTCCAGCACTTTGGGAGGTCAAGGCAGGCAGATCACCTGAGGTTAGGAGCTCGAGACCAGCCAGGCCAACATGGTGAAACCCGGCCTCTACTAAAAATACAAAATACCTGGGCGTGGTGGTGCATGACTGTAATCCAAGCTACTTGGAAGGCTAGGGCAGAAGAATTGCCTGAACCCAGGAGGTGCAAGCTGCAGCGAGCCGAGATTGCCCCGTTGCACTCCAGCCTGTGCAAAAAGAAACTGTCTCAAAATAAATAAATAAATAAAATAAAACATAAAAGAATAAAAAAAAAATTTAGTATGCAAGTACAATGACAGTTACACTCTATAGTCTGCTCTATAAGAATAGTTATTATTAGCCAGATGTGGTGGCTCACGCCTATAATCTCAGCACTTTGGGAGGCAGAGGTGGGTGGATCACCTGAGGTCAGGAGTTCCAGACCAGCCTGGCCAACACAGTGAAACCCTGTCTCTACTAAAAATACCAAAATTGGCCAGGTGCAGTGGCTCATGCCTGTAATACCAGCACTTTGGGAGGCTGAGACGGGAGGATCACGAGGTCAGGAGATTGAGACCATCCTGGCTAACATGGTAAAGTCCCATCTCCACTGAAATTCCAAAAAAACATCATTATGGCGTACGTGGTGGGTTGGAACGCACTGTGATAGTCCCTGCCACGTTGAGGATCGGCTGAGGGCAGGGAGAAGTCGTTGAACCTGGTGAGGCAGAGGTTGCAGTGAGTGAGATCCATGGTGCATGCACTCCCAGCCTGTAGAGGCGGGGATGAACTCCGTCTCAAAAAAAAACCAAAAAAAAAACCTCAGAAAGAACATAGATTTGCGTATTATTTGGATTCATGCATATCTTACCTCTTATGGATTACTCTGTACACCTATATTAGCCATGGTTCTTTTCAAGGAATTCCCTTCAAAAAACCAGGTTTGCGTATAGAGATTATTAAAAGGCCTGGTGTGTGTGCCACATTTATTACCAATTGCTGTATACTATACAATATATGGTTGATTCGATCCTTATTGTTTTTGATAATATTAAAGCACAAAAGGCCACAAATGGCAAATAGTAATTACTTACGAATAAAAAGATTTTGGGAATGTACCAAGTCTACTGGCTGCAATAGTCTCTCCCACCACCACTTACATCTATTACACATCAAGACAAGAAAAGTTTAGGCAGATGGGAGGTATTGGGATTATCAACATAACCCTGACCAACCAATTTGATATCTGACATCAGTTTTAACACTCACATGCTGTCTGTTGTCCATCTCTTTGCTATCCTAGGAATTGACTCCCTCTCCAATTTCTCTTCAAGGTACTGCTTCCGGTAAATTGTAATTGGCTAGTTATTCATTCCCTCCATCTACTTAAGCTCCTTGATGGAAAAGGCTATGATTTAGACCCCTGGCCAATGGGTACTCTAAAAAAACACTTGTGGAATAAAGTGAAACTTCATATAATTCTAATGATGTTTTAGATTGACTCAATTCTGGGATCTCCAACAAAGCTCACTCCACTCATTCAGTAGCCTGTGAGAAGCATTTTATCAAATAAGGGAGAGACAGCTGAAGGTAAGGTAAAAACGTCTCTCGTATATTTTGAGTTGTTCCTCTGACACCAACTAGCAGTTTCCCCATCTGCAAAATGAGCAGGGATTGGATTAGGTGATCTTGCTGTCATAAAATTATGATTTAATGTGGTTTACCTTGCCATATAAAATGTAAAACACCCTCACTCGCCGACGACGACCTGCCTGGACGCGCACACGCCCTGCCGCCACCTGGCAGAAATCCTTCGTCCATTACCCACAGTCTTTCCCCAGATGAGACTGCTGTCCAGCATCCGATAAAGCAGTTCTCACAAACTTTATTGGGTCAATAATTCCTTTTTCCACCATATTCACAAAACCTCCAACCACAGCATCATAACCAACTTCTAAGGAAATTCGCATAATTTTCTCAGCTATCAAAGATCCTTCTACACCTGCATTCTTAGCAATGGTCATTGCTGGAATTTTGAGTGTTCTTTTAATAATTTCCATACCAATTTTTTGATCTTCATTAGTTGGAGTCCATGAGTCCAAGGCTGGAATGCACCAAAGCAGGGCACAACCCCCTCCCAAAACAATGCCTTCTTCAACAGCAAAGCTGTAGCATTAAGGGCATCTGTAACTCTTTCTTTTCATTCACTTCAACATCACTTGTCCCAACAACCTTCAGCACAGCTACTCCATCTGAAAGTGTTGCCAGCCGTTCAGTTTTTCCTTTTCATATTCACTAGTTGTGACATCTAACTGCTCATTGACTTCTCGAATACATTTTTCAATTTGAGCCTTGTCACCTTTTCCTTTTAAGAGCATGGCATCGGCTGGGCACGGTGGAGTTTTCAGAAGTTTTCAGGAGTTTTGCTCTTGTTGCCCAGGATGGAGAGCAATGGTGTGATCTCGGCTCACCGCAACCTCTGCCTCCCGGGTTCAAGCGATTCTCCCGCCTCAGCCTACCAAGTAGCTGGGATTACCGGTGCGCGCCACCATGCCCGGCTAATTTCTGTATTTTCAGTAGAGATGGGGTTTCTCCATGTTGGTCAGGCTGGTCTCAAACTCCTGACCTTGTGATCCGCCCATCTCAGCCTCCCAAAGTTCTGGCATTGATTACAGGTGAGCCACTGTGCCTGGCTCAGATTAACTCTTTTTTAAAAAAATCAATGAAGGGCGGGCCCGCCCGGTGGCTCACGCCTGTAATCCCAGCACTTTGGGAGGCCAAGGGAGGTGGATCATGAGCTCAGCAGTTCAAGACCAGCCTGGCCAAGATGGTGAAATCCCACCTGTACTAAAAATACAAAAATTAGCCGGGCGTGGTGGCGGGCGCCTGTAATCCTAGCTTCTCGGGAGGCTGAGGCAGAGAATTGCTTCAGCCCTGGAGGCAGAGGTTGTGGTGAGCGGAGATCGCACCACTGCACTCCAGCTAGGGCGACAGAGTGAGGCTCCGTCTCAGAAAAAACAAACAAACAAAAAACAATGGAAATTCTAAATTCGGTATGTGTATTAAACTGGGACAAAACTAATAACAGTATTTTGCCAAGGGCACTTGGCCTTACTCCCATTCTCTCACACTTCAGATATAAATCACTGAATGAATCCAGCACTGAATAAATGAAAGATCCATAATTTCCTAAAACAGTTCCAATTTTCATCTTGCACAAATCTACAAAACTGATCCACCCGCACAGCACTTAAACTCCTGGTAGTGTCTTTCAAGGCCAAGGTAGTTCCCCTCGGGAATCCAGTTCCCTCCTCCTGGTTCAGGATCCGAAGGCTCCCTCACTTCATTTCAGGTCTCCTGCCAAAAGACTTCCTCACAAAGGCCTCTCAGACCGATCCCTTCTCCACTTACAAATTAACATACAGTCTCCTCCCCACTTCCTAGCCCTACTACATTTTTCTTCATGAAGATTTATGGCACTGTTACATATCTATGCGTTTTCTTGTCTATCTTTTCCGTAGAATATACAGTCCAGGAGGGGAAGGGCTGGGGCGGCTTCCTTTGCTGTGGGATCCCAGCACCAACAGCGGAGTCCAGGACATAGTAAGTGCTCAGTAAATCACAAATCGCTTCTCCAAGGGTCCAAGGCTAGTTTCCCAGAGCCTCAGGACACTTCTCTCTTAGCCCGACCCACCTCCGAGTAGCCGCCCACCTCTACTCGACCCCCAGCTTGGGTCTTCATTCTCGCACCCCTTGGCCGCAGACACTGCGCGGCGCATCCACCTCCCCAGACCCCGCGACTGCGGTTGGGCCCCGCGGCTGCGCTCAGCAGCGCACCTCCCGGGCAGCTGCGCCTCTGCGCTGGACCCAGGCTGCCGCCGCGCCAGGCAGTGACAGCTGCGCTCCCGCCGGCCCCGCCCGCAGCCGTTGGGACGCACTAACTGCCTCGAACAGCCGAGCATTCGACTTTGAATGGTCCGTTAATGTGGTCGCAAAACGTGACTCGGTTCATCGGGCGCCCTCCGTAAGCAAGACAAGCACCCACCTGCGGTCCCAGCAGTCCCGCTCGCGGTCGGGGTTGTCCGGCCCCTCCCGGCTTCTCACCTGCGCACCAAACGGTCCAGCCCTGGCGGCTGCTGGGGATCCCTCCGAGCGCCCCCTCGGGCGTCTTCCTGAGACCCGGGCGAGGGAACTCTTTAAGGGGAAACAGTTTTGGGCCCCACCACTCTTGGCGCCGCCGTTAGGAGGGTGTGAACATTTATGCTTTAAGAGATACCCGAGCCCCTATCTACCGCGGCTATCTACCGCCGCGAGCTGACCCGCTAGGCTGGGAAGAAGGCTCAGGGCGATATCCGGTTACCAGTTCTTTCGGACTCACGAACTCTTCTTGGATGAAAAGCCCCGCAGTTGTTCTCTCCACCTCTTGGAAAAGACTCTCTAGAGTTTTGGGGTTAGGAGTAATAAAGATCGTCCTCTGCTGCCCCATTGGTGCCATCCAGGGTAAGGCCCCTGCAGACAGCAGAAGGTGTTTTGGAGAGATTGTTCTCCCGCAGCCCAAGGGTAAGGCTTACCTTGGAATTACCTGGAGCCTCACCATGACAGTTTGGCCTTCAGTAAAGGGTTGATAAGTCAATAGCAAACAAGGGCTATTGAAAGGGTACTGCACTTCTCAAATGAGGATATTCCAGTCAACAATGAACATGTCAAAAAGCATGCAACTGAATTGGTCATCAGGGAACTTCAAATTAAACCTACATGAGATACCAGTTCTTTGCCCACTACAGGGCTAACAGGTGTCGGGGGGCTGGTGGCGGGCGGGCGGGATGTGGGAGATAAAGGAAGTGAATGCCAACCTTGGGGAATATGGAATGTTTAGAACTCTCACACGTTTGTTAATGGGGTATAAATTCATAAACTGTTTATCAATATTTATTAGAACATATGCCTACTCCATGATCCAACAATTCCACTCCTAGGTTTACACTTAACAGAAATGCATACATATGTTTACCAGAAAGTAGGTGCTAAAATGTTAATCTCAGCAGTATTCATAACAGCTCCAAACTGGAAATAATCCAAATATCCATTAACAGGAGAAAGGAGAAATATTTTGTGGTATATTCATACAATGGACTATTTATTATGTAGCAATGAGTGAAGACGCAATTGTAGTCCCAGCTACCTGAAAGGCTGAGGTAGGAGAATCGCTTCAGCCTGGGAAATTGAGGCTACAGTGAGCTATGATCATGCCACTACACTCCAGTCCGGGCAACAAAGTGAGACCCGGTCTTTACAAAATAAAATAGGCTGAGTGCGGTGGCTCACGTCTGTAATCCCAGCACTTTGCGGGGCAGAGGTGGGCGGATCACAAAGTCAGGAGTTCGAGACCAGCCTGGCCAATACAGTGAAACCCCATCTCTACTAAAATTACAAAAATTAGCCAGGTGTGGTGGTGGGCATCTGTAATCCCAGTTACTTGGGAAACTGAGGCATGAGAATCGCTTGAACCAGGAGGCGGAGGTTGCAGCGAGCTGAGATTACACCATTGCACTCCAGCCTGGGCATCAGAGCGAGACTCCGTCTCAAAAAATAATAATAATAAAATAAGATAAAATAATAAAATAGTGAGTATACTACAGCCACATGTAACCATGTGAATAAATCTCACAAAGTTGAAAGAAACCAGTTGCAAAAGAGAACATATTGAATTATTTAATTTATAGAAAGGTCAAAAACGGGCACAACCAACCTATGGTGTCATAAATCTAGATTGCGATCACCTTTTGGGAGGTTGTGATGGAAGGGATGCAAGGGCTTATGGGATGTGTTGTGTAACTCCGTTTGGATGCTCGTTCACTTTGTAAAAACAATCATTCAATTGAACATTTTTTGGCATGTAAAGTTTTTTAATTAAGAAAAAAGACTGACGTTTAATTTGTGCCAGTTTCCCCTCAATTCAATTCAACATACATTCATTTTATAATCACTATAGGAGGTAGGCGCTGTGGAGACCTGGAGAGATGTCTCTGCCTTCTAGGAGAAGGTGGCACAAACATAAAAGCCGTCAATTGGGAATAGTCTTTGATCCTACGCTAATTATTAGGGAAGCCCAAAAACTTATCTTGGGAGAAACTTGTGGAAAAAGGAATACATCTGGCATTTTTTTTTTTTTTTTTTGAGACGGAGTCTTGCTGTGTTGCCTAGGCTGGAGTGCAGTGGTTCGATCTCAGCTCACTGCAACCTCTGCCTGCCAGATTCAAGAGATTCTCCTGCCTCAGCCTCCCGAGTAGCTGGGATTACAGACGTGCGCCACCATGCCCAGCTAATTTTTGTATTTTTTAGTAGAGATGGGGTTTCACCATCTTGATCAGGTTGGACTTGAACTCCTGACCTCAGGTGATCCACCCACCTAGGCCTCCCAAAGTGCTGGGATTACAGGCATGAGCCACTGCGCCCGGCCCCTTCCCTCTTCTTAAATATTAATATTTATTTGTAGTACTAATTTTAATTAGTTATAAATGAAGGCCCAGTGGTCAAGTGAATTGTTCAAAATTGCTCAGTAAGTCTGAAGCAGGCTGGGCAAGAAGCTAATCTTTCACCTTACTATGGCAGAGATCTCACATTACCTTAGTGGCGTCACAGCCCTGCCATACTGGCCAGTGTTCACTCAGAAATGACAGGATAAAGTAGCATTTTTCTTGATGTTAAATGTATTTAGTTATTAAATTCTGAGACTGAAACTTTCCTTTTTTAATTTTAATTTTTTGGGGGGCGGTATTGCTGTGTCGCCCAGGCTGGAGTGCAGTGGTGTGAACTTCCTGGCTGAAGCGATCCTCCTAACCCAGTTGGCCAAGTAGCCGGAAGGACAGGCATCAGCACCACACCTAGCTAATTTTTTGTTAAACTATATTTTTTTGTAAAGACAAGTCTCGCCATGTTTCTTAGACTGGTCTCGAATTCCTGAGCTCAAGCAATCCTCCCCCTCCCAAAGTGCTGGGATTATGGGCATGAGCCGCTGCACCCAGCCCTGAGACTATCACCTTCCTATCTTTCTGGTGGAAGGTTTTAATTAATATTAAAACGTTGATTCTTTTATAAAATGATGGGCATAGTAGACTGTAGTTAGTAATTAATGTCTTTACTTGAAAATATAAAAAGTTCTGTGTTCTCTCGTATTTCCCCACTGGTTCATAAAATGAAAAAGTTTAGAACAGACTTTTGCTTCATTCTTATGCTGCTTCTGGTTCAAGATCCTTTTGTTTCATTCTACGTTCTATTTGTTACTAAGAAAACCTGTGGTTTTTTTCTTTCTTTCTTTCTTTTCTTCTTTTTGAGACAAGACTTTGCTCTGTTGCCCAGGCTGGAGTGCAGTAGTGATCCTCCCACCTCAGCCTCCTGTGTAGCTGGGACCACACCACTGTGAGTCACCCAGCCCGGCTTATTTATTTATTGAGACAGGGACCACTTTGTCACCCAGGGTGGAGTGCAGTGGAACATACATGGCTCCGCTGCAGCCTCGACCTCCCAGGCTCAAGCAATCCTCCCACTTCAGTTTTCTGAGTAGCTAGGAATACAGGCATGAGCCACCACGCCCTGGAGGGAAATCTTTTAAATGTGGATCTATATATTCTTGTAGAGGATATGGGTGACCCATGTTCTATTTCCTTTATATATCTTCCTCTGCAGAGACTGGAAAACCAAAAAGTGTATTTTCCAGATTTTTTCGCAACTAGCGCTCTAGTTGTAAATTGTGGACCTATCCATAATTTGCACACATAAGAAACTTGAAAAGTGGAAGCCAGGCTGGGGCCAGCTGCTGGCCACTTTGGCTGTTGCTGCTGGTCAGTAGAGTCATGGGATGTTGGGTTTTCTGCAGCAGTGTTCCAATGTCTATTCACTAGTTCCACGGCCTTTTTTTTGCGGGGGGGGAGGGAGTCTCACTTTGTCACCCAGGCTGGAGTGTGGAGTGCAGTGCCAAGATCTCGGCTCAGTGCAACCTCTGCCTCCCAGGTTCAAGTGATTCTTCTGCCTCAGCCTCCCAAGTAGCTGTGATTACAGGTGCCCGCCACCACACCTGGCTAATTTTTGTATTTTTAGTGGAGACGGGGTTTCACCATGTTGGCCAGGCTGGTCTTGAACTCCTGACCTCAGGTGATTCGCCTGCCTCAGCCTCCCAAAGTGCTGGGATTAGAGGCATGAGCCACCATGCCCGGCGTTTTATGGCTGTTGAGAGGTGCTGAGGCTGTGTTAGCAACAGTAGCTGCCCAGTTCCTTGATCACAACTAGGGCAGTAAGTTCTCCTTTTTTTCTTTATTTTTAATTTTTTTTCTTTCCATACACATGTCAGTGCAGGGGCATGTGTTCCTGAACTCAACAGTTTCAGCAATACAGTCTTGATTTCTCACCTTTCTGAAGCTTTCCTGGTGGCTGAGTTTACCAGCCTCATTCTTGGAGTCATTTCTGATATACAGCAGAAACCCCCTTTTCTCCAGTACTTTCAACAATTTTGTAAGCACATCAAGCTCCAGTATTAAAGCCTTTCCTACTTAAGTGGTTTCTATTTACTGCAGCCAGCCCTGACAGATGTAATACCTGACTGAGCAGTAGCCCACTGGCCTTTTCTTCTTCTTTCCATAAATGCCAAAGGCAATGCAACCTGGTGCTTTCATCCCTGGTCTTTTGAGGCCTCGTGTTCATTTCTTGGGCTTCCAGGGATGAAAGAAAGTCATGATTACTATTGTTTAAGAAGGGCAGGCAGCCAGGCTTCAGGAGGAATCATGAGTTGAGGATTTTTCTAAGGCCTCAGGTTCTATGTGATTCAGTATGTTACGTTCTTACCAATCAAGGTACCACCCCTTTACAAATTAGAGAGCTTAGATCTATGGTTAGGAACAATACCAGTTCTTTCCTTCTTTAGACTTCACGTTGGGCTCTAGGTTCCCCCCGTTGAAGAAAATTTCTGCTTTTGCTTATTGCCCATCATCAGGGAAAAGTGACAGTGCTGTAAGTATGAATTATTAGCCTAAAAATAATTTTTTGTATGTTTTTCACAATTTATTTAATATTACTAGGAACTCTACTAAAAAATAAAAGTGCGCTTTTCCCTCAAACAAAATTCTTGAAAATATTAACATCTCCCCTCTCTTTTGGCATAGGTAATATACACTTTATTATGCCAGAATTACTTACGCCCAGTAATAATTTTTCC